TAGTGGTTAGAGCTGAGGCACTGGGAGAGAGAGGCAGTGTGGGCTAGTGGTTAGAGCTGAGGCACTGGGAGAGAGCACAAGCTGCTCAGCCGAGCTGTGACCCGGCTCTTCGGCCTGTGTTTCAGGGACAAGGGCATGAGGTACATGGTGGGGAAGGACTGGAGGGACTTCTTCAATGCGGTCATCGTCCAGGCAGACAAGCCGCACTTCTTCAACGACTGCGTCAAGTGAGTGTCTTCCCCCTGCGCTCACCGGCCTGCGTGTCCGGGCGGGGCGTCTGCCGAGAGGCTCCGTGAGCTCTCTGACGAAGCCAGGCCCCACAGGATTGGCGCACCTGAAATCGCTTTGTAAAGACAAACACGCAGCAAATAACTCGCTTCAAGTGAAAATGAGGTGTGGTGGCAGTGTGGCACAGTGGTCAGCATGGCTGCCTTGCAGTTCCAGACCTGGGCTGCTGTCTGTGTGGAGCTGGTATGTTCTCCCGGTGCGCATGTGGGATTTCTCCCGCAGTCCAGGCGTACGGGAGGTTAATTGGCTTCTGGGGAAATTGTCCTAGTTGTGTGTCTGTGTGTGTCCTTCTGCCCTGTGCCATGCTGGTGTCCCAGCCAGGGTGTACCCTGCCTTGCCCCCATTGCTTGCTGGGATAGGCTCTGGCTCCCCTGCGACCCTGTACTGGATAAACCAGTTAGAGCATGGGCGAGTGGATGATTAAGCCGTGCATGTTAATCAAGTGTGGCGGTTTTGAACTTGCAGGCCTTTCCGGCGATTGGACTGCAATGGAGACCTGCAGTGGGACAGGATCACCAGCCTAGACAAGGGCCAGATCTACAAACAGGTCAGTCGGCAGGCGACTCTCCCCCGGTTCCCAGCTCTCTCTCGCTGTGTGGCCAGCCCTTGACCTCCCCTCTCGGCACCAGAGGGCACGCTGTGTGTGCGTGTGTGTGAAGTCGATACCGTGCAGCAGCGGTCGAGCCAAGAGATGACTCTTGTCTGGCTCGCGGCACGGCGCCGGCTGCCTCGACCAGTCGGTCAGTGTCAGTGTCCCTCCGAAGCCTGGCGCAGGTGCCCGTGTTGGTCTTGGCAGCGTGGGCGGCGTTAATCCGCTGCAGCGGGAGCTCTGCCCAGTGGGGCAGGCCTGTGCTTCGCCACAGTCGGGGCTTTAAAACCAGGACAACGTCTGAAACCCGCGTGAGTGCAGGTCAGGATCTAACGCTGAGTCGGGGATCGCTGGAGGAAAACGCGCACATCTTTACTACAGGCTGGAAGTGTTTGCAAACAGTCAATCAGTCAAGGTTTATTGATCTGTGCACAAACAGTACAGCATACAGCGGTGTTGTCGGCAGTGAAATGCTTTATCCGCGAGCTGGTTAAGAGGGATAGAAGAGTAGAAGGACAGGAGTTTATAGGGATAAGGTTTTCCCATTGTTGAGGACAACAGTGTCGCTGAGTGTCCTCAGCATTTTGCACTGGTCTCTGCTCACAGTGAAAGGGCAGGCAGGAAGGGTTTATCTGCTGCTGGGTAGCTGTTGTCAAGCCCCGAGAATCAGTCCCACTCTTTATAGTTGGAGACTTTTCATGTCGCCGCTTGGAGCTGGTGTGTGTGGCTGTAGTTTCCTGAGAGTTTACCGTGCTCTCACTGGGAGAGATCACCTTTCACAAGTGAATCAGTGTCTTGACCGCGCACTTCAGCCCCGTGCAAGCATGTGAGCTCTGTAAAGTTCCCTTGACAGGACTCGTCCTGCAGCGCAGAACGTGCTGGTGCACCGAGTCCGATCTCACTCGGAGCCGATCCTGGGAATCTGCCCGGATCGTCTGGGTCTTCTCCCGGAGCGGGCAGAGAGGCAGTCTGGGATTGCGCAGCAGGAATGAAAGCAGTTACTCTTTCCTGCTGCGGGCGGCCAGACTTTGGTGCGACCCATCAGCAGTTCCGAAACGACTGTGTTCAGTCCTCGCGCCTCTTCGGGAGGCTTCTGGGAGAGGCCAGGCCTGCGCGCGCTCCCTCGGGTGTCATGCCCGTCCGCGATCGGGGCTGCGGTCGTGTCCGTGCGATTCGGGCGCGGGGGTGGAGAACAGCAGCACAGGGGAGCGCAGTGCCTACGTGAGCGAACGCACAGCCTGTGGAGACAGGCAGAAAAAATCCGGCTGACTCAGACTGTGGGAACATCATTCAGATCGTTACTCATGCCACACGGCCTGAACCGTTGGCGCGAAAGCGCAGCCTCTCCGCTGGGATTCGTTCCTCTGGTGGGCAAGAAGCAACAATTCCAGGAACAATGGCCACAGGGAACCTTTGGGTCTCCCAGAAACTTTCAATGATCGAACGCTTCCTTTTTCCCAGGAGAGCCGAGGGTGGTTCTGTTAAAACGGCGGACCTGCCTGCACTGAGATTAATGAGCAGGGAGTGACTGTCTGAAAACTTCAGTCTCCTGATGGCATTCATTCGGCAAACAAACACGTTTGTGTCTCGTGAGGCCTGTTTGACTCTGGCCAGGCGGCTGTGCGGTTTCTGCTGGGATCACAAAGCCCTTACTGGGGCAGAGGGGAGCAGGCGCAGGGCCACACAAAGGAAACGGGCAGGCCAGGCGGGGGGGTTCGGGGTCCGGACCCGCATACTAACGCGGCCCACCGCCACGGCGTCGCCCCGTTCTGCACGTCCGCCTTGGCTCCTGCTCGGCTGGGGTCCGCGCTCCGACGCGGAGTGTGGGGAGGGCTCTCGGCATCCCCGAGCGCGCTGATGGGGCGGGACGTGTTAACTCTCATTAGCTCTCCGATGGCGGGCGGCGGGGGCGGTGTCTCTGGGGGTGCGGGGGGAAAATGGGGTTTTCATCGATCGTGCCGAGACGAAGAGTAGGCTGGGAGCCGCGCCCCTCTCCTGCCTCTCTTGATGCGCAGGAGGATGGGGGGGGGGTCTCTGCATCTGGCCTCCCCTCACTCTCTCTCTCACACACACACACACACACACACACCATGTCCTGGGATGTGTGGTGAGCTGTTGCTGGGTTGACCGTGGGGGGTGGACTGTGTTCGACAGGCAGAGGCTGAGCTGTCTCTCTGTCTGAACCCTCAGACAATCGGGGTCTGTGTACAACTGCTGTGCGAGTTGTATTTATTGAGCAGTGTGAAGAGGAATTCATGTGATCTGAAACCCTGCTGTGATGTTCAACTTTGACCTTTGACCAGGTCAGGTGTAGGCATGCAAATTTGAAAAGCATGATTTTTGCAGAAAACAGCTGAGTGATCTTCACTTAAGTCACTAAGCAGATTTGTTTTACACATTTTAAACATTTCAGTGCCTTATTCCCCCATCTCCCAGTGCCTCAGCTCTAACCACTAGCCCACACTGCCTCCCTCTCTCTGTCCCAGTGCCTCAGCTCTCACCACTATCCCACACTGCCTCTCTCTCTCCCCCAGTGCCTCAGCTCTAACCACTAGCCCACACTGCCTCCCTCTCCCCCAGTGCTTCAGCTCTAACCACTAGCCCACACTGCCTCCCTCTCTCTCTC